ATATGAGCCCAACGGCCCAGATTGAATCGGGGTCGATCTGATAGTCACAACCTCATTTCATATTTGAATTTGAATTTTTTTCTACGAATCCAAATAATTTGAAATTTTAGATGTGTATTATGCAAAAATAGAATAATCTAATAAAAATATAAAAAAAATATTGTAAGAAATAAATTGACCAAAATACCTTTGAAATGTTTCGAGGGTATTTTAGTCAATTTATTTTTTGCAAATTATTTTTAAAATATTTTTATTAGGTGTGCCTTGATGAGAAGAATGGATGCCTAAAATTTCAAGTTATTTGGAAGCGTAGAAAAAAAATTAAAATTCAAACACGAAATGAGGTCGTGACTGTCAGATCGGTCCAAATTTAATCTTGGCCGCTGGGCTCATATGTTAATATGAACTAGTGGGCTAATCTCAACATTTTCCTATATATATATATATATATATATATGCCTCCTTTTTTTTGTGCATATGATTTGTTGGGTACCTATATTCAATGCACCTCTCTACATTTCAGCTCAAAAGTATTGAAAACAAAAAAATAACTTACATACTGGGCATTGGATGTGTGGGAATTGAATCTGAACAATTCAACCGATACTGCCTTGTAGGCCGGCTGGTTCACTAACAGATTTCCTTATATAGCTGATGTGGCTGAAGTAAAGAGAATCTAAAAAAATAATATTTTAGACTTTCTTCCTTAGATGGGCACATTACGTGGAGTAATATATAGAATTCCTGATTCTGAAATCTCCTGATACACTTCTGCCCAATCATTCCTGTAAATTTGATGAGAAAGCTTTCTATGTTCCCCCTTATACAACCGTCCATTTTTTAATGGAGGGCTAAGATTGCCCGAATCACAATGTCACGTCTCTACACTGTTTTATTTTTATTTTTATTTCTATAAACTGTTTTGACACCAAATTTTGGACATCCATTCCTATATTAAACTCGCACCAACAAAAAATATAAAAAAAATGTTTTCAATAAAATAAAATGACCAAAATACCCCTGAAAGATTCAAGGGGTATTTTGGTAATTATTTTTTATCGAAAAATTATTGTTAATATTTTTTATAGGTGCGCCCCAATGAGAAGATGGCACGTACCAAATTTCATATTCAAAAGAATTGTATTAAAAAAAACTAAAAATAAAATACTTTGAGACGTCGGATCTAAGATCAAACGGTGAGTGGCTCTCTTGATAAAAAATGAACGGCTGGATGGTAGGGGGAACATAGAACTTCTATGTTGTAGGGGGAACATAGAAAGCTTTCCCAAATTTGATATCTAGTTTTCCTTATTCTGTTTATTTTTCTATTTGTATTTGAATTTTGTAAATTTCAGTCACAAAAACTCTGGTTTAGCCACTTCTCTTGTTTATTTGTGATAGATGTTTAGAATGCTGTGTTATGAAACTATACCATGGAAAGGCATCTTTGGTGTGCTTTTTGGAGTTCTTTTTATGTAATTGAAGGGATCATTTCATGCAGTTTATCCTTATGGCTAACAACATATAGCTCTGTCATTTCCTTGCTAATTGGAATTGGCATACTTCATCAGGATTATATCAGATATCAAATACGCCAGAAACGTTCAGATGCAAAGAAGGCTTTAAGGGATCTGCTTTTCAAAGGCACGTCATCCAAGCTTCAGGTTCAATTTCCTGCCCTGCTTTGTTGGATGATTCATGTGTAACATTGATCATTTCATGGTATATATTTACCTGTTCAGTTGTTGACTAAATGGGTGATGATTTAGTTTTCTCTAATGACTTTTTCTTTTTCAATAGTTTAGTTCTTGTGATATAAATAGAATGAGCGATTAGAGTTTTGCCCAATTAGCTCAAAAGTGTCAAGCCAAGTTGTGCAAATGATTTTGTTTGAATGAACAGGTTTAAGGCAATTTGTGGCCCCAGTCCTTGTAAAAATCCATAGTAGTCAGGAGATTCTCAGTGTTTCATACATCATATATGTAAATTTATGCTGAGGTATAATACGATATTTGTATGTCGTATGTATCATACAACTATGCATGTGCTAACTGAATTTGAGCAATGGTCAATTTGATATTTGGTTGTGCTTATGGAGTGTAACTATGCTAATTTAACTGTAAATGAAATTATCAACTTCCATGCATGGTGGGGCACATTCATGTTGGGATCCCTAACCCTTTTATGGTTCTGCTGGATAGCAAACAAATTTTGAATTTCATACTTTCTGTCCAGAATGGGAACTTATGGGGAGGTGCAGACATATGCAAGGGGCCACGTATTTCAAATAAGCAAACACAATCTAAGAAGTCAGCAAGAGGAAAATTTCAACATTCATCAAAGCATGCGCAGAAAAATAAGCGTAAGTTCTTGAGTTCTTTTATACCTAAGTTGTTTTGAACTTTTTGTTGTTGTGGTATAATTTTATGGAGTGCCTATATTATGCTCCCAAAGGAGCAAAATATACACTTGGTCCATCAAACAAAAGACCCATTTAGGGGGAATTTTCTTGATCTGAAATTTTAGGATCCACTTTAGAATCAACTGCAGGGTGTTTTTAAAAAAAGGGGAAAAAAAAGGATTTTGAGTTTCTAAAGACCTAGATTTTACCGTCTAAGAACTGGGCATTCTCTATTCAATCCTGGGATGTGATTTCTTTTGGCCAGATCCAGGGTTCATAATCAATGTTCTTTTTAGATTGATCATTAGGTTGCGTGGTTAACATACCCAAAAATTTTGGGTCCTAAAAATACTGCAAGCTAGGGTTTTGCCTAAGGGAGCAAATCTACATTTTGCTCCCCCTGGAGCATAAATTCTTTTCACATTTTATAATTTTTTCACTTGGCAAAGGTAGTTATTGCAAATACCATAGCATTCATATCGGTTTTGGATATGCGATTTACACTTGTTACTTAATGAAGTTTGCTATCCTTGAATATTCTACTTAGTAAGCTCCTGTCAATTTTTCTTCATTTATTAAATGAGCCATGGTATCAATTTTGTATAGCTCATTTTAAACTGTTAACTATAACAGATTTGCTAAGCAGCTAGCAACCCTTTTCTTTTCCTTTCATCATTTCGCTGTACAATCTAAAATGAAGAAAGCTTGATTTTTGGGCCCATCCCCATGCTTTGAACTTAAATCCCAAATGCAAAGTAGGCTGTTGTTCTAGATCATGAGAGTTTTTGTATAATGGATGCATCTGATCCCTATATTTCATCAAGCTCATCCCTATGTTTAGTTTCTGCCTTTCTGGTAAATTATGATTTATCAAAACAATGTATATTAGTGAAAGGGGAAAACAGTTGCCAGTTACGACATTAGAGAGGCATAAAATCCATTCGACTGAAACCTTCTCAGTTGACCACAGGATTTTCCTTTTAAACCACCAATGAGTTGTCTGCCATACTGAAATAGTTTCAAGTTGCAAAAATCGTATTCCCTCCAGCTTTAGGTGGAATTTTCTTTAGTTTTTGTGTGAAGCTATGGATCAATCCTTTGTTGAAATTATGAAAATTTCTCAGGATTGACTTTGGAAAGTGGGGACTTAAAAATATCAGATAATGTATTCAGAGTTTTTTTCTTTGTACTCGATATGTATGGTGTGAGTTTTTGGGCCTTGATATCAGAGATTGTTCATCTCTCTCTCTCTCTCTCTCTCTCTCTCTCTCTCATGATCAGTGGGTTATGGTGCTTTTTTTTATTTTCCTCTATCAGTATGCTTTCTTCATCCTTGCTTTTTCTTCAAACTTGCATTCAGCTTTGGTTTCTTCATACAAGAAGCGTTTGCTTGAAAGAGGAGGGAGGGAGCTTTTCTTATTGACATTGTTATTTTTTTTTAAATTTCTTGGTTGTATGACAACTATTTATCGATTAACTATATTGATTTTGTTTGGATTTTTGGATGCTTCGGGGAGGGAGAGTTCTATTCTTTATTGACATTTTTCTTATTTAAGTTCCTGTTATTACAATTATTCATAAATCGACTGTGATTTTGATTAATGTCGGGATGCTTTGCTTGTTTCCAATTATAGTTAGATGTTTTTTGTCTTCTATTGAAGTGTTGGAAAATTCCATGTTACAGAAAAGCAGAGGGTAGCAGATTTCACTGAGGAGTCCGATGAACGAGCCGAACCAAATTTCCATGCGACATTTGGAGGCAGGTGTTTTACTTGGTCATTTAAGGCTTGGCAGGAATCCCGATTCCAGGATTCTACATGGGGCTTTGAATGGAGGGATCCCAACTGGAGTAGAAATACAAGAAGATTTGTAGAAGATAGTGACTCTGATGAAGATTCATGTGTCGTTGGTTCATACTCTGATAGGATTACACTTGGGTTGCCATCTTCGGGTCCTTTGAAGATTGAAGATGTTAAGAATGCGTAAGTGAAAACTTGCAGTGCATTAGATGTTTTTTCCAAATTTATTATAGGCGCTATGTTCCCTTTCATATTTTAATCCTTCCATGTTTCCTGCAGATTTCGAGCTTCTGCATTAAAGTGGCATCCTGACAAACACCAAGGCCCTTCACAGGTTACATTCGTCAAAGTTTCTTCTTTAATTCTTTAATTTTGCATAAATAACTTTTAGAAGGTCGTTTTGCTACTTGAAATAGCAATGTAATATTAAAAAGTATATTTCCCTACATGCAGTAGCTACGCAAGAATAAAGTTTTTTCTTTTAATTGGTAACATATGAACAAACTACTCTTTTGGAAAAAGAATTGAGTACAAATTAATAGAGAAAAAACATATGGTACAAAGAATGAAGGATGCAGGTCTCTTGTGATCTACAGTACCCTTGAAATGTTTAAACAACTAAAGACTTAACTACTTACCAGGACATGTATACGAGAATGTGTCTGACTTGGATTTGAACAATCTGACATGCCTACCTATATTTTGATACGTGCAACATGTTTGTACAATTCCGTACAACACTTATGTGTGTGTGTGTGTGTCTATTATATATATCTATATGTGTGTGTGTGTGTATACATATATCTAGAACTTGTACAATATATACAACATGTTTGTACAAGTCCCTACAACACTTGTGTGCATATATATCCATATATATGCATATGTATGTCATCCTCAAAGCTTTTCCCATCTAATTAGGGTCGGCTACATGAATCTTGGTCTGCCATTCTGCTGCTCCATTATGGGCCATACCCTGAATGAGGCCATAAGTCCTATATCTTTTTTCATTACTTCTAACTATATCCTTTTGGGTATCTCTTGTTCTTTTTTAGCCTTCTACTTAAACTAATTCACATGGTCGCACATGCTAATAAGTGCAGTATTGGGTCTGCGTTGCACATGGCCAATCCATTTAAGTCTTCTTTCTCTCATCTTATAACCTATTGGTCCAACACATAAATTCTCCCAATTGTATTCATTTTGAATGCTATCCTTTCTTGTCTTACCACTTATCCATCTCAACATCATCATCTCAACTATACTCGTTGTATGGATGTGTTATTTCTTGACCGTCCAACATTTTGTCCCATAAAGCAAAGCTGGTCTCATAGCTGTCTTATAGAACATGACCTTCTGCTTCATTGGTATGACGTGATCACATAAAACTTCGGTTGCACATCTCCACTTTTCCCAACTAGCTCTAATTCGATGTGTGGCATCTTCCTCAATCTCTTTATTTTTTTAGATTATCGATCCAAGATATCGAAAGTGCATTCTTTTTGGTATTTCTTGGTTGTCAATATTAATTACTTCCTCGTTTGTACTCCCATTATTTCTAAACTTGCATTCCATGTACTATGTCTTAGTTCGGTTAATTTTAAAACTTTTTGGATTCTAGAGTATCCCTCCAAAGTTCTAACTTTGTGTTGACGTTGTTTTGAGTCACATCGATCAAAACTTGTTGTCCTCGAACAACATACACCACTGTACCTCATATTATAACTTATAAGTGCATAGTTAAGTCGTCTATAACTAAGACAAATAGGTATGTGCTCAATGCTGACCCGTGATGCAGACCTATTGTCTCTGAAACTCACTTGTCTCTCCACTAGTTTTTTCGCATGCAAGTTAGAACTGCCTCATACATATCTCTCACCAAGTCGATGTAGTGTCTGGAGACTTTTTTCTTTTCCAACACCCACCAAATCAAATCTCGAGGTACTCGATTATAAGCTTTTTCTAGATCATTAACGACCATGTGGAGGTCTTTCCCCTTATCCCCAAACTTCTCCATCAGTTGCCTAAGTTAAAAAATAGCCTCAGTTGTTGCCCTCCTTGGCATAAAATTGAATTGGTTTTCTGATACACTCGTTGCATGCCTTAGTCATCGCTCAATCACTCTCTCCCATAGCTTCATAATATAGCTCATAAGTTTGATCCCTCGATAGTTCTCACAATTTTGTATGTTTCTTTTGTTCTTGTAAATAGGTATCATAGTACTTCTCTTCCATTCATCTGTCATTTTTCTTGTTCCAATACCTTGTTGAACAGCTTGGTCAGATAGTCAAATGCCCATCTCTCTTCTGGGATAACCTTACAACCTTTACATTATGGTTGATGTACCTTCTATTTTTTGAGAAAGGTTAACTTAATATTAAAATAGTATAAAAGTACATAAACCACTAAATATATGATATAGGCAGCCCACAAGTGGGTGCTCAAAGTACAAAAGAGGTAGGGAAAAGAGATAAACGAATTACATAAACAAAATCCTTAACTCAAAAAACAGCCGTGACTGGGGATAAAGGAAAGTGGATGCTGCTGGGGGTTGCCTTCAATAGTGAGGAAGAAGGCCCAACTGGCAAAACCAATAGGCCACATGCGAGAAGGGGTATAGAAAAGATAGAGGTAGAAAGTTAAAGGGGAGGGAAAAAGGAGAAGGTTTAAGGGGAGAGGCTAGAGAATAAAGAGAGCGAGAGAAGAATGAGAGTGAGAAAAGAAAAGGGCAATGAAGAGAACACCATGATCGAAAGCCTTGGCTTTGTGCTTGTGAACCAAATATTGGAGAGAAGAAACGGCTCTGAAGAGAACACCATGGTCGAAAGCCTTGGGGCTTTGTATTTGTGAACGAAGAAGTATATCTGGCTTTTATAGGTTATTAAATGTTCATCTCTCTTTTTAAAGTAAATGCTTGCTATTGCTAGGACGTAAGGGTCGTAGGCCATGTAAAAATCTAGAATAGCCTCACTCATCTCATTTCTTTCACCAAACCCATATCCCCCATCTACTCCTTCATATCCTTACTGTCTTTTCCTTTATGTCCATTTAAATTCCCTCCTAAAAAGGTCCTCTCACCATTTGGTATGTTTTGGACTAGTCCATCCTTGTTCTACTAAATTGTCTCTTAATTCTATCATCTACTCCTACTTGTGGTGCATAAGCACTAATTATGTTAATTATTTATCTTTTAAATCTTTATCTATTATTATTCTTGCGTCATTTCTATTATTACCCTTTCTTGTAAACCAAAGTTTAAATTCATCTATTTTCTTAGCTTTTTTCTTCTTTCCGCTTAGTTTCCTGTAGACAAGCGATGATTACTCTGCTTCAACTCATTGTATCCAGCTCTATACTCTTACTTGTAAGCTTTCTTATATTCCATGTGGCTAGGCGAATCATATTATCTTGGACAAGCTTATTTATCAGAGCTCGTCGAGTATGTCACGGGAACCTTGCCTATTTCTCACCTCAACCGGGCGGCATGTAGTTTTTAAGGATCAGCCTAGCTAGCCCTTGTTCATTTCTCACTGTACTCGG